CCTGGGTCGGGATAGGCATGCACACATACACACCCAACATGTTTCAAGCTGATGGGCCTGGGACTCAAACTGTGGTTGACTATGTGAGAGTCTAGCAACATAAGGATTATGCCATCTGCTGGTCCCAATTTTATTTATTATTATTAGTCTTCAATTTGACAAGAGAGTTAGCGCGAGAGCAAGCTGCCAGGTCCAGGACTTGAACCACATTGGCCATGCAGGAGTCCAGCACCTTAAACACCACACCATACCACTTGCTAGCCCCGGTCACCTGTAGTTTTTTTTGTTGTTGCTGTTATAGTTTATTTTTTTTTTTTTTTTTTTTGAGTTTTTTGCTATAGGGCGTGTGCGCTCGCCAGACAGACAGAAAGACAGAAAGCGAGAGATCACCCCCCAGGGGGGATGGCCATGCCGCAATCCCTTCTTCTCCATTCTCCTCTTGGGATCTTGGGAACGCACGCACACGTGCCCAGTGTGAGTTCAAGCCACCGGGTCTGGGACACGAACCGCGGTCGACTACATGGGAGTCCAGCGACATAGCCATTACAGTAACTGCTGGTCCCAACCTGTAGTTTTAATAACTACCCTGGCTGCACTGTGACTAGATCATCTCACACCGGCATTCTCTGGTCTTCGTGAGCTGCCTACCTATCCCTCTGCCTCCTATCATCCTGGGGCTTGGCGGGCTGGTTACCTGACATTGTGGGGCTGCTTGTCACAGGACAGCACGGTGTTTGCAATGGATTGCTGCAGGTGCTGCCGCTGCCTCCTCAGGATCTGCTGGAAGTCATCCTCCAGGGTCTGTACTACGTAACGTAGAAAAAGGACTCGCCCAGGCAGGGTCTGTCCCTGTGGGAGAAAAATGAGAAGACAGGGGTTCTTTTCCATCTCCTGGATGACAGTAAGCATTAGGCTACCATGTGTACTAAACCCAGGAGAAGGCCATGAGTCAAAGGTGTCTATCTTTTTTTTTCCCCCATGTATGTCTATTTTTAAGAGAGGCTTCTGGGGCAGAGCAGGCGGCCTGGGTCAATACAAAAGAGGACAAACAGGACAACAGCTAAAAGAATCGAACCCTGTAAGGCCTTGAACCGTTTTTTTGGTTTCTAGTCATTAAACACAAGTTCGAAAAATCGAGGCATCTGTAGATAATCAGAATTACCTAACAGCTAAGCTGCAATCAGAGATGTGCTAGAGTCTCTAGGATTAGAGATATTTAAGAGACAGCCTTGTGGGGCCAGCAGATGGTGTAGTGGCACTGGACTCCCACATAGCTGACCACGGTTTGAGTCAGCTTGAAAATCACACCGGGTGTGTGTGCATGCATGCCCAAGATCCAGGAGGAAAAGAGAGACGGGATTGTGACGTGGCCATCCCTCCTGGGGGGATGATTTCTCACTTTTCCTCTCACTGTCTCTGTTTCTCTCTCTGGCGAGTGCACACTCCCTAAAACAAAAACATCTTTGAAAAAACAAAATCACGATGTCCCCCCACCTGCTGAATGTCCAGCTACATGAGCTGACACATGTCCTATTGTTGGAGCAAGTCTGAGTTGGCCATCCTGTGACAGGTGAAATGGTCCTGACCCAGGAGAACACAGGCTTTGATGGCATACACCTTACGGGTTTTTATTTTAAGAGGCTTTTGTCATAGGGTGTGTGCACTTTCCAGAGAAAGAGAGACAGACAGAAATGGTCAGAGGGAAAGTGAGAAATTACCCCATGGGGAGGATGGCAATGCTACAATCCCTTTTCCTCCATTCTCCTCCTGGGATCTTGAGCATGCATGTACATGTGCGTGATGTGATTTTCAAGCCACTGGTCCATGACCTGCTGCCCTAGGTGTTTTTTTTTTTTTTTTCTGGAGAGGTTTTTGCTATAGGGCGCGTGCGCTTGCCAGACAGACAGAGAGACAGAAAGCGAGAAATCACCCACCAGGGGGGATGGCCATGCCGCAATCCCTTCTTCTCCATTCTCCTCTCGGGATCTTGGGCACGCACGCACACGCGCCCAGCGTGAGTCTTAAGCCACCGGGTCCAGGATGTGAACCGTGGTCGACTATGTGGGAGTCCAGCGACATAGCCATTACGCTAACTGCTGGTCACAGGTTTTGTTGTTTTAAACCTAGCTCCATTCCTTATTCAACTCAACTGGCCTGAGGTTCCATGTCTTTGGATTTACTCTGCCCTTATTTATTCTTTTTAGAGAGATTTTTGCTATAGAATGAATGTGTTCGCTGGAGAAATGAGGACAGAAAGTGAGTTAAATCACCCCCCTCCCCCGGGGAGATGGCCACACCACAATCCCTTCTCCTCTATTCTCCTCGTGGGATCTCGGGCAGACACGCACACATGGCCGGCATGAGTTTTAAGCCACTGGGTCTAGGACTCAAACCATGGTTTGAATACTGGGAGTCTAGATATGTAACCATTGCTCCATCTCCTGGTCCAACTCTTCCCTTATTAAAGACAGTGTAAGCACCTCTCGCATGGCAGGCAGGCATTTCACAATCTATGGTTCCCCTTTACTGGGAAACAAGTGCTAGGAGCTCAGGGGCTCAAGCTTGGAAACCTCAAAGAACGAGAGGTGGCAGTTTCTGGACTGTGTGAGACTTTCAGACTCAGGGGCAGGTACATTTTCTGGGAAAGTATACTCAGGCCATGGTATGGTTCAGTCAGCAGAAAAAATGAATCATTCTAAGCACGTAACCATTTCTTTCTCTTTTAGGGGAATAAGGGATGATGAAGTATCTTTGTCTTCCAACCGGTATACTTTCCACTAATCCTTCATAACTGACGCGCACAGCGTTTACCAACCAAGTTGGTACACTTAGGGTTCAAGTCTTCTGAGGCCATGCTTCCTACACGTTCTCTCCAGTACCCAAGAGACGATAATTCCTGACTTTCTTCTCAGTCATCTTGAACTTCTCTAAAGAAATGAGCTTTTACTGCTATTTCCTTCTTTTCAAGACATTTTGGCCAGAGGTCCATGTGCTTACAGGAGAGAGGGAGAGAAAGTGAGCAAGCGCCCCTAGGGGAAATGGTCATGGCACAATCCCCACTTTCCCCTTCCTTCTGGATTTTGGGCATGCATGCACCTGGCATGTTTCTCAAGCCTCCAGGACTGGGACTCAAACTATGCTGTCAGTCATGTAGGATCCAGCCACTTTAACCATCAAGCCACGGGCTGGCTCGTTATTTCTTAATTTACCAACTTTAGACATTCTCTATTGGTCTTTCCTATGCTAGATAAGAATTTAACTCACTTGTGGCGGAACCCCACCTCTTGCTCTTGCAGCGGGAGTTCTTGACTCCTCATTTTAGAAGGTAAGGACCTTATGACAGCCCTATCTTAAGCCTTAATACTGCTCAGGTTTGCAGAGAGCCTACCCTTTTCAGCTCCTGGCTTTTATATTCTGTAACTTTTATTTTATATTATCAAGGCTAATAAAGTTCTCTTATGCTCCACATATAAATTGATTCTAAACTTCATTTTATTTTAAATATTTATTTATTTATTTAATTCCATTTGTTATTATTATTATTTAATTTGACCAGAGAAAGAGAGAGAAGGGGAAAGCGAGAAGGTAAGCTGCCAGGTCTGGGACTCGAACTCATAGTCAGCCATGTGGGAATCCAGCACCTTTAACCACCACACCACCTGCCAGCCCCAGTTCTAAACTTTATAATGAAATAGTGTTTACAGTATCAGGACTGTGTTAAGATTATTATCCTGGACATTCAGATAGTCTACCAAGAAAGTCATTCCTTTCCCATGAAGTTTGTTTTCCCTAGTCTCTTTTTCCCTCCCTTCATGCTGTCACTGTAACATACTTCTTTCAGCTTCCCAAGAATGATATTAAATTTCACAGCTTCTTTCCCCCAATTGTTTTTTGAAATTTTGAAAGCAGTTCTATTGGCATACTATACAATTCATCATTTTAAATATACGACACAATGATCTGTAACAAACTGAGTTGTGCAAAAAGGACCACAATCTCTTTCTAGAACATCTTCATCACCCTGAGTGGTCTCTCATGCCCTTTCAACCCCACCTCATGGCGGCCGTTCATTTGCGTCCTGTCTCTCTTGATTTACCTGGCCATTTCCTGTACATCGAATTATCAACATGTGATGTCACATATGTGGTTTCCTTTATTCAGTTTAATGGGGTTTTTTTTTGAGGTTTGTCCGTGTTATAACACATATCTATTGCTTGTTTCTTATTTTTATTTCATCACATGGGTACAGTGCATTTTGTTTATCCATTCACCACTGATGAACATTTGAGCTGTTTCTACTTCTTGGCTGTTATAAATAATGTGGCTATAAACATTCCTGTGAAAGGCTACTTTCTTTGGGCTTTCCAAGTCTTCATTCAAATCTACTACTCTCCCCTTATTTTCACAGCCATGGGCTTATAACTTTCTTTATTTGTTTGCTATTATTTTATTTATTGGATTAATTAATTATTATTATTATTATTATTTACTTTGACCAGAGAGAGACAAAGGGAAAGTGATAAAGGAAGTTGCCAGGTCCAGGACTTGAACTGCAGTTGGCCACATGGGCGTCCAGCACTTTAACCACACCAAGTCACTTGCCAGCCCCCATTTGCTATTATTTTGAATGGGATCTGAAGGATAAGTGAGTGTATTTAACCTTGCATTATAAGATAGAAATACTGTTTCAATAAGACGTGTTTGGTAGGAGTGGTATCAGGAGGATAGTGGCCTAGACTTCACTGCTAGATTTGCTGTCGCTTTTTCTTTACAGTTAAAATTTCCTCTGCAAAAGATACACCGCATAATTATGTTACCTCTTCTTCCATGACATAGGTGAGCAGTTTCCAATCCCACTCCACAGTCTTGGCACTGGCTGGATGTAGCCTGAAAGTCAAGTGACATCAATTAGCATTCTGGAATATACTGGAAGAAAGGATGGGATCTGGACGAAGACAGAAAGAAGGTCTACTCTTCTCAATGCTCTTGCCCACCCTCTGGTCAATCTGGTGAATCTACCAAGCCAATGTGAGGGGAGTAGAGCTTCATTATTTTGTTTGCTATCCAGTAGCCACTCCCCTTTGGGACACATTAGGACTCCAACTCTGTGCTGAAGGAACTAACGCTTTACACTCTTCAGTCATCTGGCCTTGCCTGAGAGGGCCCCAGGATGAAGCATGTGACCCAGTGAACCAATCATGATATTCTGTCTCAATTCAGACAATTGACCTAAAGGTATCAGGTCTCACGTGAGGCCAGTTAAATCCTACAAGTCTGTTTTAGAACTCCTGCATGACTATTAGAGAAATGGACTCTCTTTCCCACCAGGAACATCGTAAAAGTCTAAGGCTGAAAGGGCTACCACATGGCCTGAAATTAGAACCAAAGCAGAGCTGAAAAACTGATCCTGTGGGAACCAGCAGTTAACGTAATGGCTATGTCGCTGGACTCCCACGTAGTCGAGCGCGGTTCGCGTCCCGGACCCGGTGGCTTAAAACTCATGCCGGGCCTGTGTGTGTGCATGCCCAAGATCCCGAGAGAAGAATGGAGGAGAAGGGATTGCGGCGTGACCATTCCCCCTGGGGGGTGATTTCTCGCTTTCTGTCTCTCTGTCTCTCTCTGCCTGTCTGGTGAGTGCATGCGCCCTATAGCAAAAAAAATCTCAAAAAAAAAAAAAACTGATCCCATAACCATTTTTGGACAATGAATCGAATCACATCTTGTTCCTAGGGTTCTAGTAACGGGAGTTATTAAATTCCTTTTCTACCAACTGCTAAGGCCAGTTTAGGTTGGGTTTCCTGCCGCTTGCAATACAGATGGCATTAATATATTAAGTGACCCTCCCCAACGACTTGCTGAATAAAGCTTAGGCAGCAGGAAGCTGTGCCGAGTCTGGGTTCCCTAGATTTGCCACAGCCAACTGTTAAGGTTCCTACTGTTGAATTTTCATGAGAAGCATGTAGGCTTCCTTTAGGACGTCAACTGTCTCAGAGCCACTGAGAAGGATTTTCTGGATGATGTGAGCCACGATTTCTCTGGGTGGGTAATGCTGGGGAGACACGAAGTCCATCAAAAACTGCACAGTTCCTAGAGGAAAATTTTCTTCAATGGTGTTTGTCACCATTCTTAGTCTTCGATGAGGAATGGGTTCTAATTTTTGACCCTTGCTCTGTAGAGGTAAAAAGAAAGAAATTAGGATGAGTTTATAGAGTATATAAAAATGAAAAGTCCTGCAGCAAGCTGAAGGCAGTAAATTTTTTCATGTATTTGAAATAGTTTATAATTCTGGGGCCGGCAGGTGGTGTGGTGCTTAAGGGCTCTGGACTCCCACATGGCTGATTGAGGTCCAAGTTCTGGACCTAGCGGCTTGCTTTCTCACTTTCTCTCTCTCTCTCTCTCTCTGTCCCTCTCTGGTCAAATTAAAAATAAATAAATAAAGTTATCATTTTAAGACAAGAGACAGAGGCTGACCCCATAGCTCAATGGTTAGGTGCAATGCATTGGGAACCAGATCCCTCCTGTCTGACCACAATTCAAGTCCCAGCCTAGTCCCAGAGTCTTGAAAAACATGCCAAGCACGGGTGCTGCAGTCCCCAAATCTTGATTGGATAAGAAATGAAAGAAAAAAGATTGTAGCATGGCCATGCCCCAATGGAGGGTGCTTTATTTCTCTCTCTCTCTCTCCTCCTCCCCCCTCTTGCTTGCTCTCAAACAAACACACATGCCCTCTGGCAATTAAAAAATGTTTTATAAAATATTTTATTTAATTTTATTATTATCTTTTAATTCAACCAGAATGGGACAGAGAGAGAGAAAATTAGAAATCAAGTTACCTGTTCTAGGGGCTGGCAGGTGGTTTGGTGGTTAAGGTGACTGGACTCCCACATGGCTGACAGTGGTTCGAGTCCCAGACCTAGGAGCTTGCTTTCTCACTTTCCTTTTCTCGCTCTCTGTCTCTCTCTGGCCAACTTAAATAATAATAATGACAATGAATAAAAATAATTCTTAAAAAAAGAAGTTACCAGGTCTAGGATTTGAACTGTGATTGGCCATGTGGGAATCCAGTGCCTTAACCACCGCACCACCTGCCAGTCCCAGTAAATTAAAAAAAAAAAAGAGACAGGAGGGGGTCAGCAGGTAGCGTGGAGGTTGAGATGCCGGATTCCCACATGGTCGACCATGGTTCAAGTCCTGGACCTGGTGGCTTGCTTTCTCACTTTTCCTCTCTCTCTCTGTCTCTCTCTGGTCAAATTAAAAAATGATAATAAGAAATGAAATAAAATTAGTAATCTTTACAAAAAAAGGAGAGAGAGAGAGAAAGAGAGAGAGGAGGGGCAAGCAGGTGGTGTGGTGGCTGAGGTGTTGGGCTCCCGTGTGGCTGACCATGGCCATGGTCTGAGTCTTGGACCTGGCGGCTTGCTTTCTAGCTTTCTCTCTGTGTGTCTCTCTGATGAGCATGTGTGCCCTATAGCAAATTAAAATAATAATACTTAAAAAAAAAATAAAACCAGACAGGAAAGTCTTATCTAAAAGACTTTTAAGGAGAACCAGCAGTTAGCATAATGGCTATGTCGCTGGACTACCACGTAGTCGACCGTTTCGTGTCCCAGACCCGGTGGCTTAAAACTCACGCTGGGCGCGTGTGTGTGCGTGCCCAAGATCTTGAGAGGAGAATAGAGGAGAAGGGATTGCGGCGTGACCATCCCCTCTGGGGGGTGATTTCTCGCTTTCTGTCTCTATGTCTCTCTCTGTCTGCTGGCGACCGCACGCGCCCTATAGCAAAAACCTCTCCAAAAAAAAAAAAAAAGCAAAACACTTTTAAGGACACGAGAAAAGGCTTATATAAAATTGTGCCTGCAGATGGCATGGCGGTTAAGGTGCTGGATCCCACATGGCTGACTTCACAGTTCTAGTCTGGGCCTAGCAGTTGTAAAATACTCTAGGCATGTGTGCGCATATACCCAAAATCCCGAGAGGAGAAGCAACTGAGATGTGGCCATCCTCTCTTCGGGGGAGGAGTGCTGTCTCACTTTGCCTATCTCTCCTCTCCAATGAGTACATGCACATGCACCCTATACAAAACAATTTTAGATCTATATAGCTATACAGGAAAGAAAATACAAGGCCTGCTCCATACCTTAGTGGTTAAGGGAGCCAGATCCCACATGGCCAACCACAGTTTGAGTACCAATCGCAGCTACTTGAAAAACATGCTGGGTGCATGTGTATAGGTGCTCCAAATTCTGACAAGATGGAGAAATGAAGGGACTGTGTGTGACCCACCTCACGGGGAGGTTTTCTCCTTCTCTTGGTCTCTCTAGCAATTAATTAATTTAAAAAAAAGTACCAAAGGATTAAGAGGTAGCCTAAGTGGATTTTGGGATGTTATGATGCTTTATCAGCTACTAAAATACAGAAATAAGAGGTTTTTCATTGTTAGAATCTTATCTGTAGTCACAATCCATTGTACCACTGGCCCTTCTCCTCCATTCTCCCCCTGGGATTTTTGGCAAACACACACATGTACCAGGCATGAAATTCTGGCTGCCAGGTCTGGGACTCAAACCACAGGAGGCCATATGGGAATCCAGTGCCTTAACCACTACACCACCTGCTTGCCCTACGTTTTGATGCTTTTTTTTGAGACGATAAATATTTTTTTTCTTTTTGCATCAACATAAACTCATAGTTTAATTCTATTTGACAACGATAAATATTAAGTTGCTTTTCCTCCCCACAAAATGTGTATAAGTACTGACAGAGAATGTGTGAAACAGTTTTCTATTACCTGGGAAGTAGAACTGTGGGTGATTTTTCCTGTATATGCTTTTTGTTTGTTTGTTTTAAGGGATTTTTGCCTTAGGGCACATGCACTTGCCAGAGAAAGGGAGAAACAGACAGTGAGAAAGTGAGAAATCAGCCCCTGGGGGAATGGCCACACACAATCCCTTCTCCTCCATTCTCTTCCTGGAATCTTGGGCATGCACACACATGTGCCTGGAGTGAGTTTCAAGCTACTGGGTCTGGGACTGAACCGTGGTTGGCCCTGTGGGAATCCAGCAACATAATCACTACACCATCTGCTGGCCACTGTGTATGATTTTTTTCCTTTACACTTTTTCCTTGATAAACATTTATTACATTTATAATTAGAAGAAAAAACATTTAAATATCTGCTTGAGGGACCAGCAGATAGCATAATGGTCATGTTGCTGGACTCCCATATGACTGACAGCTGTTCAAGTCCAGGACCTGGAGGCTTCAAACTCATGTCGGGTGCATGTGCATGTATGCTCAAAATCCTGAGAGAAGAATGGAGGTGAAGGGATTGCACATGGCCATTCCCTCTGGGGGTTGATTTCTCTCTTTCTGTCTCTCTGTCTTTTGGGTGAGTGCACACACCCTACAGCAAAAAATCTCTCTCTAAAAAAAAATCTGCTTAAAAAAAATCTGCTTGATATGGGTATCTAGTATCAACCATAAACTTTGTGAACACTTATTTTGTCCTTACTTAGTTCTTACCAACCCTAAGAAATAAATACTATATATTTTACTCCTATTTTATAGATAAAGAACCTAGAAATTGAGAGGGTAACATTTGTCATGCAACAAATGGAAGAAGCCGCTTTCCAACACAGATGGCATAACTCCAGGGACATCCTCTTAACCCCTACTTTTTAAAAAATAAATATAAAATAATACAAATATATGTTACGATTCCAATTATTAAACATTTTAAATGCTTATATATAAATATAAAAAAGCAATGGAGAAGAAAATATGCCAAATCACTCACAATAATAAATGATGTCTGATAGCACCACGGGTGGTCATTTTGTGTATTTTTTTAAGAGAGATTTTTGCTATAGGGCATGTGCACTTGCTGGAGAGACAGAGACAGAGAGACAGAAAGCAAGAAATCACCCTCCAGAGGGGATAGCCATACCACAATCCCTTCTCCACTCTCCTCTAGGGATTTTGAGCACACATGCACACATGCCTGGTGTGAGTTTTAAGCCACCAAGTCCGGGATTCGAACGATAGTCTACTACTTGGGAATCCAGTGATGTACCATTATGCCATCTGCTGATCCTGATTTTGTGCATTTTAAAAATATTTTATAATAGGTAGTCATTATTATTTTTTTCTAGAGAGAGACTTTTGCTGTAGGACCCGTGCATTTGCAGGAGAGACAGAGAGACAGAAAGCAAGAAATCACCTTCTAGGGGGATGGGTAAGCTGCAATCCCTTCTCCAGTCTCCTCTCAGGATTTTGGGTATGCACACACATGCACCTGGCTTGAGTTTTAAGTTGCTGGGTCTGGGACTTGAACCACAGTCAACTATGTGTGAGTCCAGTGATGTAACCATTATGCCATATGCTGGTCCCTGGTAAGCATTACTTTTTTAAGGAATTATTTATTTATTTATTTATTTAAAAATACTAGTAGTATTTTAAAACTTGCTATAGGGCACGTGTACTCACCAGAGACTGAGAGAGAGAAAGTGAGAAAGCAAGCTGCCAGGTCTGAGACTTGAACCTCGGTCAGCCATGTAGGAATCCAGTTCCTTAACCACCACACCATCTGCTGGCCCCTAATAAGCATTATTATTTTTTTTATAGCAATCATTTTTTAAAAATAATTATTTTATTTAACTTTATTTATTTATATTTATTTTAATTCAATCAGACAGGGATAGAGTGAGAGAGAGAAAGAGAGGGAGAAAGTAAGTCATTAGGTCTGGGACTCGAACTACAGTCAGCCATGTGAGAGTTCAGCGCCCTTAACCACCGCTCTACCTGCCAGCCCCATAAGCGTTATTTTTGAAATCAGAAAATAAGTATTATACTTAGAATAGCTAACTCAACAAAGATCTGACAGCACAAGTCAAGAGAGTAAAGCAGTGATAGCTGGAACCGACTTTCCAGAAAATCTTCTGGAGGAGAGACCAGTTAGCTTTCCCTAGATCGCCAATCATTGACCGTGCCGGCAACGATAACTTGCTTTTTCAGTTTTTTTGCCATAGGGCACATGCACTCTCTGGAGAGACAGAGAGAGGATAGTAAGAAATCACCCTGTGAGGCAATGGCCATGTTGCAATTCCTCTCAAAGTTTTGGGCACACACGTGTGCCTGGCGTGACTTCAAGCTGCGGGTCTGGGGCTTAAACTGTGGTCAACCATCTGAGGAGTCCAGCGTCTTAGCCATCATGCCACATATTTACCACAACAGCATACTTTTTGAGTCTCTGAACTGCTGTTACGTGTCCCTTAATGATGGGAATACATTCGGAGAAATGTGCTGCTCGGTGATTTCACTATTGTTTGAACATCACAAAATCCACGTACACAAACCGAGACGGGACAGCCTCGAGCACACTTAGGTGTGATAGGCCTATATGCATGTCATGGGAGCACTGGCATAGATGTGGTCTGTCGTCGACCGTGATGTCATTATGTGGAGCACAGCTGTACTTAAAGTCAGTCACCTTCAGCCTCATACTATGAGACCGAGCCACACTTTTTCCTTTACACATCTAGTTTAGTTAACACGGATGAAGGAAGACAAATGGGAAGTACCATTCCCAATAAAAATCTCAAAACCGAATTTCTTTTGCATGTGATCACTAGAGAGACAGAGAGACAGAAAGCAAGAAATAGCCTCCCCCCTCCCCCAGGGAAAATGGCCACACCACATTCTTTTCTTTCCCATTCTCCTTTTAGGATCTTGGGCATGTACACATATGTGCCTGGTATGAGTTTCAAGTCGCCAGGTCCAGGACTCACACCACAGTCGACTATGTGGAAGTCCAGTGCCTTAAACACTACGCCACCTGCTGGCCCCTAAATTTCTTCTGTAAAAGTCAGAGTAATAATTTTGGAGGCACTGAAGTGACAAGAGTATTACTATATCTGTGACACGGGAGCTATAATGAGGGCATTAGTAAAAGACTGGCACGGCAGCTGATGACAGAACTTGGGTGAAGGCCTGTGATGCGCCAGATACTCTAACAGGTATCTCTACGTATACGACTTCATCGGTTGCCGGCGAGGTATGTTTCACATCCACTTCACAGCTAGGAGAGCTAAGGCTCAGAAAGGAAGAGTGACTTGCACAGTGCCAGTCTTTAAGGGGGGGCTGAAGTCTGAACCAGATCCGACTCCATACTGAATGATTCCCACAAGTGAGGGGAAGGTACGAATTTCATTTATATTTGGCTTGTCTCTCATGCAGGGACTTGAGTCCTACCAACTTTACCTTCGGCCTGTATAAAAGCCACCTAAGCCCTGGGAAAAGATGGGTTTGCTCACCTCTTTTGTGTCTCTGTCCGGTATCAATGTCTGGAAGAAGAGATGGTGTACTGGTGGGCGTAAGAAGAACTTCAGTCTATGTAGGCATGGTCTGTTATACAGCCCACTTTGTGGTGTCTGTGCCCGCACCTGGGCAGACACGGAGATGGCAGGCTCCAACGCTGCTATGTCTTTTCTGGTTGGGGTTTTCATGGCAGAGAGCCATGGAACTTTCTCTAAGGAAGTTTCTGACTGTGGAGACGGGGGGCTGGGAGAGCAGCTTGAAGAGGATGGAGCTGACATATCCATAGGAGTGTCATGGTTCTTGGCACCATTCTGGGGACAGGCAAGCCTACCTCGAGGTAAAAGAGGCCAATTTCCAGGTGAGCATGACATGTCTCCTGATGAGCGCTGCACATCTCCAGGTAAATGGAACACATCCGCTGGTAGGTGTGGCACATCGCCTGGTGACTGGGGTACATCTCCAGGTGACTGTGGAGCATTGCCTGGTGACTGTGGCATGTGTCCCAGTGACTGGGGCATGTCCTGTAGATGTGCCACATCTTGTGGATATGATGTATTTTGAGGAGGGCCTGGTATATTTTGAGGTAGGCCCAGAGAGTCTTGAGGTGAGCTTGCTGAGTATTGAGGATGCCATGATGGATCTTGAAATGGGCTTGGCATAGTCTGCTGAGGGCATGGCACATTTTGAGATGGGTCTGGCACATTCTGAGGAGGGCATGGCACATCTTTAGGAACGCATGTTATATTTTGAGGAACACGTAGCACACTTTGAGGAGGGCATGGTATACCTTGAGGAGGGCACGGCACACCTTGAGGAGGGCACGGCACACCTTGAGGAGGGCACGGCACACCTTGAGGAGGGCATGGCACACCTTGAGGAGGGCATGGCACACCTTGAGGAAGGAATGGCATATTTTGAGGAGGGCTTGGCATATTTTGAGGAGGGCATGGCACACCTTGAGGAGGGCACGGCACACCTTGAGGAGGGCATGGCACACCTTGAGGAGGGCATGGCACACCTTGAGGAGGGCATGGCACACCTTGAGGAAGGAATGGCATATTTTGAGGAGGGCTTGGCATATTTTGAGGAGGGCATGGCACACCTTGAGGAGGGCATGGCATATTTTGAGGAAGGCACGGCACACTCTGAGGAAGGTATGGCACACCCTGAGAAGGGCATGGCACACCCTGGGGAGGGTATGGCACATCTTGAGGAGGGCATGACACTTCTTGAGGTGGATGAGGCAAAGCTTGTAATTGGCACTGCATGGTCTGTGATGGGCATGACAAGGCTCGTGGTGGGCAGGAGGAGGCTCGTGGGGGACATGGTGAAGCTCTTAGTGGACATGGCAAAGCTCGTAGCAGGCAAGGCACATCTTGCTGTAAGCATGGCAAGTGTGCCCTTTGATTGTTGCTGCTACCACTGTTGCTTGCTGGGGAGAGGGAGCTGACATCTGAAGACAGCTGTAAGCTTGCCAAGAAGCTGAGGTCATTTCTGAATGTGGCTGAACTACAATCCGGCTCTGCTGGATAAACAGAGTTCCCACTGATAGGTGTAGGGAGTTGGGGACCTTCAAATGAGGCTTCTTCCAGCAGATCCAAATCCACAGGGTCACTGTTAATAATTCTCCGTGTGGCAGGCCGAGAGCTTCTGTCCACCCGTCCTTCGACCGCCTCTTTGTTGGAGAGGCTGGCGCATGTCTGAAGATTGGTTGGCTCCTTCTGGGAAGGAGTGACATGTTCTAAAGTCAAGTCAAGAGTGGCAATAGGTCTATTTTCTTCTTCAGTACTTGTCAGGTCAATCACACAGACTCCACTGCGATCCTTTGTCCTTGGTCTGGTTTCTCTTGTCAAGTCAATGAAGTCCTGTTGAAGGATTATGAGAAGAAAAGAGATCAAGTAGGTAGCCTCAGCTTTACCTAAGATTTAAGTCTTAGCCTTTAAGCGTGAGCATTATTTTACATTTTTTAAAAAAAGATATTTGCCATTGAATGCGTGCACTCACTGGAGAGAGAGAGAAGGAAAGTGAGAAACTGCCCCTCAGTGGGATGGCCATGCTGCAATCTTCTCTTCTATTCTCCCTTGGGACTTTTGGACATGCATGGACATGTGCCTGGTGTGTTTCTCAAGCCATCAGGTCTAGGACTTGAACCACAGAGTCAGCCATACAAGATTCAGTGCCTTAGCTACCACGCCATTTGCTAGCCCTATCTTACCCTTTACTTCCATTAATAATGTATACATCTTGGGGCCAGCAGGTGGCATGATGGCTAAGATGCTGGACTCCCACATGGCTGACAACAGTCTGAGTCCCAGACCTGGCTGCTTACTTTCTCACTTTTCCTTTCTCTGTCTTTGTTTCTCTCAAGTCAAATTAATAATAACAACAAAAAAAATAACATTAAATAAAATAATTATTTTAAAAAATAATGTATACATCTTATATAACATAGTACTCATGTGTTTCTCTTATTTTTTTTAGATGTTTTTGCTATAGGGTATGTGTGCTCACCAGAGACAGAAAGTGAGAAACCACATCCCAGATGGAGTGCCACACTGCAATCCCTTCTCCTCCACTCTCCTCTTGGAATTCTGGGTACACACACGTGCCTAGCATGAGTTTCAAATCGCTGGGTCCAGCACTTGCATCTTGCATTGTGGTCGACGATGTGGGTGTCCAGTGCCTTAACTACTATGCCACCTGCTGGCCCCTAGTTTCTTTCTTTCAGTAAGCATTTTGCTAATTGTTAAAGTTGTCAATTTATGTATCTTCTTAAATTATCCATATGCCACATGCACTTAATGGAGCATAGTGGGGAATTTTTCTTCTTAAGGACAGAGGAGGAGGAGTACTAGGGGATATTCTAACCTTTAAGTCACAAAGTCTAAAGCATCCCATACTTGGAAAAGCAAATACACAGTAAAGCCTACAACAAAAGCTAAATAATAAAAGCTAATATAAGAATCTAAATGGTGGGGACCAGCAGGTGGCATAGTGGTTTAAGCGCTGGAAACTCTCACATGGCTGACCACAGTTCGAGTCCTGGACCTGGTGGCTTGCTTTCTAACTTTCCCTGTCTCTCTCTCTCTCTTTCAATCTGTCTCTGGTCAAATTAAAATAAGTGAATTAATAAATAGAAATAAATAATTTTAACAGAAGAATCTATATACTAAGAACATGTTGAGTGCATTCGCATGGTATCTTTAATTTTCACAACAACCCTATATGGTAGGCATTATCGTCTCCATATACAGACAGGAACCTAGAGGGGTTAGGTTATATCTTTATCTATTTATCTTTATCCTTTATGTAAGGATTATACGGCTAAGTGGCAGAGACTGACATTCAAATCCAGATCAGTTTCCTTTCCTTGTTAGAACCTAGGAATGTACAAGTTCATTCAATATGTAAAATATGTATGGAATATTATACAAAGATTATAAAGCCAACAGTGTAAGTCTGAGCTCTAACCAGATTAATTCATGGAAAACCTCTGATTTCTACTTTTTTTTTTTTTTTTTTACACATACCAGTCATCTTTTATTGGATGTGAGTTCTCAACTGGGATATGAAAGGACTCAACAAGATCCTTTGGAGGGGTGCTAAGCCAAGGAGATAAAGGTCTGGGGTTCGGTGTCTGATCTCCATGCTGGCCCTCTTCAGTGGTATTTGCGTCGCAGCTCGTGTTTGAGTTCCTTATAAGAAAGGCAGTAGCTGAAGAGCACATAAGCGGCCAGCACCACAGAAACCCCAGCAACACCCCCTTTCTTCACGTTGCCGTACTTGTAATACCAGTAGCAACCTCTCTGAAATGCTCCAGCAATGCCTTCAGGGGTAAAATCCTGCATCAGTATCCAGCTTGGCAGCTCCCCAAGTTTGACATCCACGAGTTTCTTTTCCTTCACTGGTACGATTGACACCATCTTGGAGTCCTGGTGTCCGCTGCACCTCCACTCTTGATTCTTAGCAAACTGATTGCCTGATGCCAGCAAAGGGTATGTCATTAACCTTTATACCATGAGACTGTAAGACTACTGCTCGACCTTCCAGTATCTTCTCACGGTTGGGTACCACCGCCATTGTATGTGGGCCCTGGGGCTAGCAATGCCACTGCTGCTGCCACAGCTACCATCTCTTTATAGATGTGGTCACCACCGTCAACAGCACCAAAGGGGACACAGGATTCTTGGTGGGTCGAGTGAGAAGTTGGCACGTACTTCATCCTGGAATAGGGATTGCTTGGTGAAATTTAATACCTCATTCCTAAGAAGCAGCCACACAGTATTGCTGCCTTTGGTGGCTCTCTATGGTTAGCTGAACTGAACATAAATAGCTGAAAGGCCACTGAGGGTCAGAACTCAACTCCTGCGTTACCCAACTACTAATGCAGTATCATCATGTCTCTCCCACTTACAACCCAGCGAAGTTCCATATGGGCTACAGGATAAGGCCTAAGGCTCATAAGGTTCTTCATAATAATGGCCTATACTTACCTCTGGCCTCTTCCTCCTCACATGATCAAACCACACGTAACTACTACAAATCCCCAGACCAGGTAGTAGTGCAGCAGTAATGCAAGTGGAACCACAAAGGTCCTGGGTTCTCATCCCAGGACCTCCCTAGCGTCCAGAGCACAACCATGTGGCAGCAAGACCCTGAGGGGGTTGCCTGCCTTTCTCTTAGGGACTTTTGGACATGGAAATAAAGACATAAAGAAACTTTAAAACTACTATGGATCCCTAAGATGCCATGCTTTCTCAAGAATCTTCATGTTTGCTTATGTCCTTTCTTCTACCAGGAATGACTACTATCCCTTGGATTGCTTGGACGTGTCTATCAGTGTATGAAATCCTTTCAGATCACATCTATTCACAGGTTAAATTAACTCCTTCCTGTGTATCGCTAAGAATTTAATGATGCTGAAAATTAAAATGTATTTTTTCATTTTCTAATTTGTCTTCACTAGTATAGAGAAATAACTATGATTATATATACTAACCTTCTGTCCTTGACCTTTGCATACTAGTTTGAAGAAACTTCTTTTATAGATTCCGTAATTTTTCTGTATAAACAATATCATGTTATTGCAAATAAAGAAGTCTAACTCATTCCTTTCAAATCTGGTTGTTTTTTTTTTTTTTTTTTTTGCCTTATTGCAGGATAGGCACCCAGTGTAACTCTCAGTAGAAGTGCTGAGAACAGACATTCTTGCCTTGGTTTTGAACTTAGAAGAAAGAATTTCAGACTTTTCATCACTAAGTATTGTTAGCTGTGAGGTTTATGATGCCCCTTATTAGGCTGAGGAGGTTTCCTTGTTTTCCCTCTTTCCTGAGAGTTTTCATTTTAACGTTAAAATAACTTTGCAATCTTAGGAAAACTCCATTTGATTATGACTTACTGTTTTTCCTATGTTGTTGGGCTTCATGTGTCAATATTTTGTTAAGAGTTTTTTGCATGTTCAAGGATTTTAGTTTGCAGTGTCCTATTCTTGTAATTTCTATTTCCGGTTTCGTTATATGTATAAGACTGGCCTTGTTTTAAAAATATCTTGAGAACTGTCTCCACTCCTTCTCTTTAGGCTGAGATGCAATGGTACTATGACTTCCGTAAAGTTTGACAGAATTCATCGCTGAAACTACCTATATCTGAATTTGCTTGTAGGAAAGTTATAAATTAAAATTACAAATTCAATTTCTTTAATAGACATAGAACTATTAAAATTTTCCATTCCTGGGACCAGCAGTTAGCGTAATGGCTATGTCACTGGACTCCCACGTAGTCGATCGTGGTTCGCATCCCGAACCCGGTGGCTTAAAACTCACGCCAGGCGCGTGTGCGTGTGTGCCCAAGATCCTGAGAGGAGAATGGAGAAGGGATTGTGGCGTGGCCATCCCCCCGGGGGGTGATTTCTCGCTTTCTGTCTCTCTGTCTCTCTCTGTCTGTCTGGCGGGCGCATGTGCCCTATAGCAAAAACCTCTAAAAAAAATATTTTTTTTCCATTCCTTCTATTATGTGACTTGTGTTTTTCCAGGAATGTCCATTTCACTTACTTATTTTTAAAGAATTTTTTTAACTATTTATTTATCCATCTATTTATTCACTTATTTTAATTTGATGGGAGTGAGAGAAAGGGAAAGTGAGAAAGCAAGACGCCAGGTCTGGGACTCGAACCACGGTCACCATAAGGGATTCCAGCGCCCTCAACCACCATGCCATCTGCCGGCTCTCACTTATTTATTTATTTAAAAGCATTATTTTATTTAACTTTATTTATTTTTAATTTGACCAGAGAAGAACAGAGCAAACGAGCAAGAAAGAGACAAAGTGAGAAAGCAAGCCACCAAGTCCAGGACCCGAACTGTGATTGGTCATATGGGAGTCCAGGGTCCTTAACCACCATGCCACCTGCTGACCCTTTATTTGTTTTTTTTAAAGAGGTTTTTGCCTTAGGGTGCATGCACTCCCTGGAACGAGAGAGAGGCAGAGAGACATAGGCAGTGAGAGAAAAAGTAAGAAATTACTCAACGGGGATTGGCCACACATCAATCCTTTCTCCTCCATTCTCCTCCCAGGATCTTGGGCACGCACACAAACACGCCCGGTGTGAATTTTAAGCCAGCAGTCTGGGATCCAAGCCAAGGTCAACCATGTGGGAGTCCAGCGACACTACCACTATGCCATCTGCTGGCCCTGTCCATTTCATTTAAACTATCAAATTTAGTAGCATTAAATTGCTCATAACAGTCCCCTATTTTAATTCTATATTCTGTATAGAATTTATTCCCAATTCCCAATTTTTACCAATATTGGTAATTTGCATTCTCTTTATTTTCTATTCCTGATGAGTCTAGCTAGGATTTTTCTTTTTAACAAATTACTTATTTATTTAATTTTATTTGTTATTATTATTTTTTTATTTGACCAGAGAGAAAGAAAGGGAAAGTGAGAAAGCAAAGCACCAGGTCCTGGACTTGAACTGTGGTCAACTATGTGGAAATCCAGTGCCTTCAACCACCACGCCACCTGGTGGCCCCTGCATTTACTCTTAACATAAGATAGATCCCTCTGAGTTTCCAGCAATCCTCCTGTATTTACTTCTGTTTCATTCTGGTATTATTAGAGCCTCCAAATTTCTTCTGCCTACTGTTTACACGGGATATTTCTTCCTGTGCTTTTCCTCTCAAGGAATGTATGCCTTCGTATTTAAAGTATGAATACATTTCTTATAGACAGCACATAATTTAATCTCACCTTTTCTGTCTAGTCTCGACCTTTTGATTTTAAATATTTTTAAGTTTTCAGTCCATCTACACTTAATTACTGGCATGTTTGCTTTTAAATCTACGATCATGCCATCTGTTTTCTATTTGTCCTCTGTTCCTCCTTTTCTTCCTCCCTTTATACTGATCATTGTATTTTTCTGCATAGCTTTTTAATTTGTCTATTAGTTTGGTAACTGTACCTCTTTTTAATTCCTCTACTTTTTAAACTCTCTCTTTATATATTTTTAGTGGTTTCTCCTAGGATTACAGTATATAAGTTAAACTCACTCCAGTGTACTTAGAAAAACATAATGAATTGGGCCAACAGGTGTCGTGGAGGTTAAGACCCTGGATCCCACATGGCTGACTGCATGATTAGAAGACTCCTGGACCTGGCAGCTTGAAATCATGCTGAGTGCATGTGCATGCATGCCCAAAATCCTGAGAGGAGAATGTATGAGAAGGGACCGCAGTATGACCATCCCCTAGGGATGATTTCTTACTTTTTCTCCATCTCTGGCAACTGCACTTGCTCTATAAAAAATGTTATATATAGAAAAAGAAAAAAATGAATTATTTAAGGTAAAAATAAAGGAAGCTTATAAAACCTTCCATTTATCCTGTGTCTTATCCTGCATTTTTGTTATGGGTATTCTATCTATATACATTGTGAATTCATCAATGTAGTATTGCTCTTGTTTTCAACAGTTATTTATTGAAGAAATTAAAAAATGAAAATTATTTTAATTTTATACTATATTTGCAATTCTTCATTCCTTTGTGTAGATCTAAATTTCTATTTGGTGTCATTTCCCTTCTGCCTAAATTTCTTGTACTGTAGGTCTGCTAGTGAAAAATTCTCAGACTGATATTTGAAAAAGTCTATTTTACTTTCATTATTTATTGCCAGACCAACCAGGCGCTCTCCAGACAGGAGGGGGGGTAGGAGAAGGCACTTTCAATGGGGCGTGGTCACATGGCAGTCCCCACTTCACCTCCATCTCTCTATCCTGTCAGGATGCGGGGCACAGGACATGAATGCAGGCCTTTCCCACGTGGTTTCAGCATCACAGCATTGCCTCATTGCCATGCTACCATGGCTGGACCATATTTTGCCCTTACATTTGAGGGATGATTCTTAGATACAGAATTCTTGGTTGAAAGTTTTCATTCTTGGGACCAGCAGTTAGCGTAATGACTATGTCGCTGAACTCCCCTGTAGTCGACTGCGGTTCAAGTCCCAGATCTGGTGGCTTAAACTCACACTGGGCACGTGTGCGTGTTTGCCCAAGATCCCAAGGAGAATGGAGGAGAAGGGATTGCAGCGTGGCCATTCCCCCAGGGGGGTGATTTCTTGCTTTCTGTCTCTCTGTCTCTCTCAGTCT